CTTTGTAAAAGCACTTCTCTGGATGTTTCAGTTTAGAAGGTGTGATGGAAATTACGTTTTTAAATATATTCAATAGACCAAAATAATGATAAATGAATAAAATACACCCCTGTGGTTCCTCTTATATCAATCCAGGATAACTGAGCTGTTTTGCACATCCTCTCTGGAGATGGCTGGTATTTTCTTGGGTGGCTGATCCTTTGAAAAAATGCAATGATTCTTTTTCTTTTTGTGGAGCTCCTATGGGTTTGTGAGGCAAACCTGAAAGTTTTAAGAATTTAAATATTTGTGTTGGTTTGATTACTCCTAAAGATTATTAAACTAGACTGAGTTGAGTTTTAACGTCTGTCATTTTATTAGTTTGAGGAATTGGGAATATGGAGTGAGAGTGAAGACACTGAGATGGGTGAGACTCACTCCCAATGGGTGAGAGGTGACAGCCCTGTGACATGTTTGAAATGTATCACTTTTCAAACTAATCCTTGATCAAAAGTACCTTTCTGAAAGACTTTCATACAGTTAAACATGAAGATGGCGTTTCCGTGAAGGAAGGAATTCATTTTCAACATATAAATACTGTAGTATATAAGCTATGATGATTTTTTTTATTTTTACCCTGATGTTTCTCCCTAAGAAGATATATTTATGCAGTAATATGAATGAGAGAGAGCAGCAACGAGTTTACTTGTAACCACGAGAGGGTGTGGGGGTTTATTCTGGAGGATTCTTCGAGAATCACAGGAGAGGACCCCGTTTCACTCGTTTATTGTGGGGGGCTGTTTTTTCTCAGTTAGGTTGTTAGCCCCCTCTGTAAAACCCATAACACAGTGGTGGGGGGCTGAAGGTTTAAGGGGTGAGTTGGCCGACTGTCACTGCAGCAAACTTGAATTTTTATATATATATTTTTTTGCCTCCACCAAAATCTGAGCTAGTTTATGTGACTGGACTGTTTGACATAACCCTGCATGCTGTTCATTTGTCGGGAGGTGTCTTTTTCTTTTCATTGAGATGGCTAACCTATTAGCTAGTTAGCACTAACGTTAGCTGATGAGCTTCATTAAACTTTTTATAATTATCGTAAAAATATATAAACAAACATTGCTCTGTTGTCCTCATTTAAGCAGCCCCATTATATACGCGTGGTTATGCATTTTTCTGATCACCTAACTGTATAAATTCCTTTATTCGCTGTTGACGGTTACTGGTTAGCATTAGCCGGATAGCATGATAGCTTTTACTCCCTGTTGGTTCATTTTGAGAACAATGAAGATCATTGACTAATCAAACTGTTTTAGTTGAACATGCATGGGGGTTGACAAACAAATTCGGGTATTGGGGAGACTGAATGCAAATATAACAAGCGAAATTATAATTTCATTTTTGACTTGCAGCATATTAAGCATTAATCAAATATTGTTTTTACCTCTTTGTTTATGTGACAATGAAGGAATGTGTACATAAAAAAAACAACCCCCCCCCCAAAAAAAAAATTGTTTTATATATATATATATATATATATACAATTTTATTTGTTTTGTTGTTTTCTAGAAAATAATTTGACAGGGTATTTGGGAAATATAATTGGATATGTTTATTAGGACTTTTGAAAATAGAAGTGTGCTCACACAAGAATGAACTTCAAGATTTTAAGTCCTTTAATTTCCTTACTGTGACTAAAAGATAATGAAATATTAATATCTATTCCTTTCAAATAGAATTTTGCATATAATACAAAAAAATAGATATATACAGGCCATAATTTAATTTTAAGTGTCTACTTATATGTATTTTTAACTTGCTGATAAATTTTTTTAGCTCATTTTAATTTGTTCTAGCTAGCGATTCAATTTATATTGTGAATAGAACCATAGTGTTATTCGGCAGTAGTTACATTTAAAATAAGTTTCAACAATATTTTGAGTAAACTACAGAAATGATTACAGGTAGTGGGTCTGATATCTCTAAAATAAAAACAACAAATGTGTGTTTCATTGTAGTAGAAGATAGCTTATGGAAAGCCCAAGTACAGTTCTCGAGAGTTAATAACCTGCAACTTTTGCATGTATCCCTGTTTTAACATGCTTGTATCCAATAAATGCCTTGTTTTTGCAGAAATATTCAGAGCTGAACGACTGAAAGCCAATGAAGGGATTCGACTAGGGCTGCAACTAACAATTATTTTGCAAATCAATTAATCTGTCAAATGTTTTTTTTGATTAAACAATTAATAATAGATGGGCAAAGGTTCCTTAAAGGAAATAACTTTTAACGAAATTAAACCAGGTGAAAATAAAACTTATCAACTTCAGAAGTTATGGATGGACCATATTGACAGATGAAAAAGTTTTCTTTTTCTAAACTGCTAAATTTTTATATATTTCTTTTGCAATTTTGGTTAATAACTATTATAATTAAAGGCATATTTTAGCGTCTCTATACTTCAGTTAATGATTAATTGATTACTAAATTAGTTGACGATTAGTTATATAATAAATGATTCATCACGATTAATCCTATTGTTTCAGCCTTTCAACCATTTGATTTAAATGTTTTGGAGAAGGGATGCATCTTAATGTTGCAGGCCTGTAGCAATTGTTTCAAAACAAAGCATAACCCTCACAAACAACAAACAAAAACAAGCACTACAGCAGCTTTTAATGATTCATGAACATATTTGCAAACTTAACCTTGAGTATAATGTGTCCAATTAATGTTTTTATTCTAGATGGCATTTACTGAAAATAAGTTGCATTTTGAATAAGTCCTATCTTTAAAAAAAACATACCATTTCAATACTAACATATTTATCCTAACCTTGTATTACTTTGTTATTCACAGCATTTAAAAAAATTGCAAAAAAATGTAAATTATTCATATTGATCAACTTTATTGCCATTCCTTTGTCATGATTCCCAACATTCCTATTCAGGAATAAGCATCTATTGTGTTTTGGGTAACAAAAATATAATTTTTTACATAATCTGTAAAATATAGTCATCATGATGTCAAACCTGTGTTTCAGATCCAATGAGTGAAATAGACTGAAGCATCACCTTGCTGCAAAAATGTCTAGTAAGTTATGATATTCTTTAATTATAGAAAACACTTTAATGAGAAAACAGAATCAATAAAATTCTCTTCATCAATTATCTTCTCCTGTTTGTCTTTTTCTGTTCAAACAGAGAGACCATCTTATGCCCCACCACCTCCCCCTGCCCCTACAACTGTAAGTATTCAGGGTTTTTGTTTTTTTTAAGAAGAACCAATATGGTCCTTTTGCACCACCCTTTCTGTGCTTATTTTTATTCAACTGAATGCTCCATAGAATATAGCTCCATTCTGTTGTTGCCTCTGCAGTCGTTAGTCATTCAGACTAATGATAAACTGCTGAAAAATAGTGCAGGTTTGTTTTGCATATTTCCTGCTTATTTAAATTATTTTTTTCGTGTCTTTATTTGAGGGGGAGGTTATTTGTGTGTGTGTGTGTGTGTGTGTGTGTGTTAAGATTCTCCCACTGCTTGTGTTATGTCATTTCTCATTCATGTTTATGCCTCGTTTGTTTCCATTAGCAAATGCCCAACACCCCCGGGTTTGTGGGGTACAACCCATACAGCCATCTGGCCTACAACAACTACAGACTGGGAGGGAGCCAAAGCAGCAACAGTCGGGTAACGGTATGAACATGAATCAAGCGAAAACATTGTGACTCAGTATATTAATCTAATTGATAAACTCCATACCTGTCATCAATTATTTTCCTGTAAGGCTTTAGTTAGTGATTGAACTGCAGACAGCTTTGCAAACACTATTGGAATGTTAGCATTTTGTTCTAATTGAATAAGAGGGAAAACATTTTTTTCCACTTCTGCTCAGGAGCAAATACAGCAGGGTATTGTGTGTAAGAAGTCTGCCTTGTTTCATTTCTGAGTCTAAGCAGGAGATTTATATCATTCCACATTCAAACTTGGAATGAAATTAAACAACCCATCTGTGTCCATTCACCTCCCATTCTTATTCAACATTCTAACAGCCATATTGAATAGTCCATGCCTTCAGTGTTGCCATGGCATTGCAGGTTTGCCGCTCGACATAGCTCTGGCTGCTTAGCAGCAATTTAGTCGCTGCTTGCAAGCAGTGGATGACTGACTCTGATAATGGCATTATGTCTCGCTATGGGCAAATCTCAGCTAAAGAGATGTTTTTTTCCTTGTTTTTTTTTTCTTTCCCTTTATGAGGAGTGTGGTTCCACTCCGGTTTCTAAGACTCTGACTTGTTTCTGGCCTCCAGCTGTGATAGACCTGCACGTCCTCCATATGACAGTTGTTGTAAAATGAAAGAGAATATTATGATTAGGCATTGACTGTTATGAGGTTTTGTTGCTTACAGGTAGATCTCAGAAAGTGGGAATATAAAAAAATTAATAAAGATGTATTTTTATTTACAAAGGTGAAACTCATTTTTTACAGAGTGAAATAATCACGCCTTTATTTAGTGTCATTTTGATGATGGAACAGATAATGAAACTAAATTCCGTGCCTGGCAAAAATTAAATATTAAATAAGATAAATAAAAATGGATCGTTTAAACAGAATTATCTGGATTCTTGCAGGGTTATTATTTTTTTTTTTTCCTTTTTCTTTTTCTTCTTCTTGTTTTTAATTAGCTTATTAAAGGTTGTGACTATGAATTAAAAAAAATAACTGTTTAAAACTTTACTGAAAAACTTAGATTATGGTTTTGATAATCCATAATCATAATCCTGCATTCAGATGGAATGCGTTTTGTGCATCAGGAATGTCTGGTTGACATGCAAAGTCTAGTGGAGGCTCATCGAGATGCTTTTCGACCAACTCATGTGAGATGCATCTCTACACACTTTGAAGTCAGACCCGTGTCGAAAAATGCACAAGCGTCCAAGATAAGATGCTTAAAACGTGGTATGAGCCATTATCTTTCAAACGGCAACCTTTCCCTTTGAGAAATAAGTGACAAAAAGTATTAAATAATTTCACAATACCATTTGTGGCCCTTCTAAGCTGTGCTCACAATTTTGAAGCACAAGAAGTTGCATAATAATACTTGGCATAATGTAAATATAAGGCTGTATAAAGGGATTTTACTAAATTTATAAAGACTGACCTTAAAACCCTTAGAGCACTAAGTATAAACAATGCTTTGACTGCACAGCGAAACGTTGGAAGAAGCATTAAGATGTGCATTTCTGAATCAAGGATATTATATCTTGTCAAATGGCGCCTTGCTCTGCGCTGTGAATGGGGACTTACACGCTCAATCTGACACAAAGAGGTACTGGAAAAAGATTATTGGTCATGGATTTGCAGTTTATGTTGGAGGTTATTTATCTGCTGTATTTTCTTTGCAGGCATTATAGGCACCATATAACAAACACTTTTATCTGTAGGTATGTTATAACGGGATATTTTTTAAATTACGTGAATATAGTTAATTGAATTTGGTTTAATAGATAGCATTGAATGATGTCATAAATTTTGGGATATCACACTTCTCACCACTCTACACCATGACATGAGGGGTAAACAACTGTGTAGTATTTGCCTGGGAGGTAGATAAACCTTCTTTCTATCGTGTTCTTTCCAAATTAAAATAAACACAGAGGCTCGCTCTGTTAAATTCTTGTATGCCATGTTGAGGTGAAACCAACAACCACCTGACTCGGTGACGTGGTGTGAACGCAGCAGTGGATTGACCTGTTTGGGTGAAAGCCAAAGCACAAGGGGGAGCCTATTCGAGAACTCATGAGAACTTGGATGGATGGTCACAAAAACTTAGGTGGTGCAGGCGGGAGCGTTTATCTTCCAAAACAACAATGGCGCATCTGGAAGATATCACGGAGATGGATCTAGAGTTGCTAGACATCGAAGAGGAACAGGTTCTGTTAATGGTGTTGGCAAAAAGACCGCTTAACCTTTCGTCATAGTTGTCTATTGTAGTTGTTTCTCGGTTTTTAAAAATGGCGCGCCCCGGCACCGAATCGACCACACAGACAACCAGAAAGGCATACCAAGGACCAATCACAGCTGCTGTTTGTCTGCACACTTCTGCTTGAGGTCTGCGCGGGTTTGCCATTGTCCGACGCATAGTCAGGATTTTTTTTAGGTGCGTGACGAAGGTTGCAGAACCTCTGCGAGGGGGGCGCGGTCGCGCACAGAGACAGATTTGACGGTTGCAGAGGCTATGCATCAGAAGCATAAATTGGCCTTAAGGTTGCACCTATTAAACTTTCTGGCCAATCACCAAACCCTGGTCTTTTAGAAGTCTGACATGCCCATTCCGATTTTGACGAATACAGATTTATAATTTTTTTTTTATAACTGACAGTCAGTTGTTATTGGATCACATGATACCTTTAATATTTAATTTGTATTTCCTTGAAAGACATTAATCAATACCCGTTAAAAAAATCAATCTGTGCACCTTTAGAAAGTATGGCAGCTTAATTTTTAACGAAGAATTTGCAGCTCTATGCACAGCAACTATTTTGAAGCCCTTTAAAATGGTTCTTCATTGGTATCTTGAGCTGAAATTAAAACAAATTTTATTTAAATTGCAACCATTACACCTTCATCCAGCCTCAGAATTTACCATACATCACTACAAGAAAATGATGAAAAAATAGTTTTCTGCTTTTATTTTCCAATTCCAACTTTCTTTCTTTCTTTCCTTCTTCCTTTTTTTCCTTTATACTTTTTTGGCCAAATTTCAGAAACATTTGAACTTAATTCAAACTAAATGCAGATGGTGGAGATTTCTTTGCCATCCTGGTTGTGAGTCATAGGCCGAGTCGGCCAACTTGAAATAATACGCTGCTGTCCAGGTTTAACCATCAAAATGATGTTTCTTCATCACTTGCTGGTTTAGTAAAAACCTGGGCCTAAATCCTGTGCTACAGGATGCATTTAGAGATGATGTCACTGTTGTCATTTATTTCATCACCAACTTGGAAATCAATACATAGCTTTAGAAGAAAGAAAGTAATAAGGTATAAACTCTATATCCTGTTTTGATTTCTGATTGCGGAATTGAGTTATAGCGCTATTCTGTGCACTGCACAGCAGAAAAATATTGGTTTTGTTTGTGTTTTCTTTTACAATCTGATTAATGGATTCATAAAGTGTGATCAGGGTCACTTAAAAGTCATGATGGAATACTTATTCCTATTACATAAAAGTTTTCATGTCTGAAGATGACTCTTTGTTGCTGTTTTTTTTTTTTACTAGAATTCCTCTGGAATAAACATCCCAAAGCCCCCAAAGCCACCAGATAAGCCTCTGATGCCCTATATGAGATACAGTCGAAAGGTGCGTACACTTTTAAACCTTTGCCATTTTTCAAACAAATTAATTTTTTAATTTTTCTTTAGAAATCCCGTAAACTCAGTTAGATGTGCCTTTTGTTTCAGACATTCAAAGTTTTTAACCAAGGTAAGGTGTGTTTAGGTAGGGGTGTCTGCATCCTAGTGGGATTTATCAGCTTTGGATCTGGTGCTTAAAGCACACGGCCTCCTCTGGTTTGTGACCTCTCTGCAAAGAGCTATAGCCCCTCCAACCCAACCCAACCCCACACCCATGTCTGGTTCTCATCACCAGGTTTGGGATCAAGTAAAAGCCTCCAATCCTGATCTGAAGCTATGGGAAATTGGGAAGATAATCGGTGGCATGTGGAGGGACCTCACTGATGAGGAGAAACAGGATTATTTGAATGACTACGAAGCAGAGAAGGTTGGTTGTATTTGCAGAGGGGTGTTTATTGGGGTGGGGGTTATGTTTCTGACGGGTGACAGTAGTTGTGTCCCCAAAGGTTCTGGGTTGCTCCAGTCATCGTTCCTTCCTTTCTACCAGTCATGAGTAAAATTTAGTTTTTTTTCTTAGTTGATTAAAACATGCATCCACATGTTGTGTCTGCTCGCTCTTTTTCCTTTTTTTCTGTCATTTGTGTCATCTTTTCCACTATAGATTGAGTATAATGAGAGCATGAAGGCCTATCACAACTCGCCAGCTTACCTGGCCTACGTCAACGCAAAAAGCCGAGCTGAGGCAGCTCTGGAGGAGGAGAGCCGCCAGAGGCAGTCCAGACTGGACAAGGGCGAGCCTTACATGAGCATCCAGCCAGCGGAGGATCCAGACGGTAAGACCACTCAGATAAACGCTTTGTTCCCCGAGGTTAAGGGCACGGTGACAGAGCTGTAATTATTGCAGCCCGACCACACAGATTTACAAGCCTCCACTCCCTGAAGAGTCTGTTTCTCTACTCCTACGCTGCTATATCCACCCTCAGTTTATGTAATTCTACCTTTGAAAAGTGACGTTTCTGTCCTTCAGTCTGCAAATAAAGACAAATTTTGTTTAGTTGTTCACCAGCGTTTACATTCTTGAGATGGGTTTAGACATGATTACCAAGTTTACATTCTTTTGTGTGTTGTCGTAAAGTCTGATACTCACGTACGCACGCACAGATTTAGACAGCAGAAGACATTTGAGTTACACCCACCTCCAGGAAATGATCCTTGTCTGGGGTCGGGCTGGGTTACAGTAGAAGTTAATGATGTGCAGAAAAACTACAGATAAACCAGCTGCTATTTAGCAACACCCCAGACCATAAGAAAAAAGGTTCCAGCTAACTTCTGAGCGGGTTACTTTCAGTAAAAGCTGCATGTATAGAAATAATAAAAAAGTAGCCTTCCAGGTCACTACATAGTAGGAGATTATTTTATTAATAAAGCCCTTAATAACAGTCTACTCCGAATATGTTTCCATAAACAACTTCTCTCTCTTTATTACTGTGAAAATGAGAACTGGGTGAGACATTTTAATTCAGGTAATTTTTTTTCTCTTTTGTAACTTTGTCTTGGGTGTAACTTAGTACTAAGCTGAGATTAAACTTAGTACTAAGCTGAGATTTGAACCTTTCTGTTTTTTATTAATGTCTTAAAGAGTTCCAACAAAATGAAGTAGAAAAAATCAATAGGTGATTTGTGATATTCCCACACATTATTGAGACTTACCTCTGCTGGATTTGTGAACCACAGAGTAAATTAATTCCTACTCCACGCCTTCAGAATCTCTTACCCCCTCTTGAATGTTTCCTGTTGCGGTGACAGAGCTTCTATATGTGCAGCTTTGAAGCTTTCAGCCTGGTGTATGCGACTCATTTCTGCTCTGTTTTTGTAGAAGTTAGGCATTTGCATATTTGCTGCAATGTAGCAGCAGTATTTGGTGGTTACTATTCAATCACACATAAATAACACAGTGAGCCCCCAGCAACTGAGCAAAAAAACAAAACGTGGATGAGTATCTCAAAAAATACCTTTGAACCATGATTTTAAATGCTCCTCAGTTTTTATCATAACAGTTTTATAGATACATCAGCTACAAAAGTTATGAGAATATCATATTTAGCAAATTTTGTCATTGTATCCTTTGGCTGAGGGCTTTAGCAAAGCTTCAAATGTCAGAAATATAATCATCTTAATTTAAGGGCTTTAACTTTTAGCCACCAGGGGCACTAGAGTTGTAACTTCCAGGTTTAGCCCCCTAAAGCCCATTGGCAATCCTGCAGTGCTGCAAACAACCTCCCTCTGTGGTTTTGAACTCTAAGAGCAAACCAAGAAGTTTTAAGTTACTCGTTAAGATGAAGATGAAACATTTACCTCTATAAATCCTGCTGCAGAGAACCAAAAGTATGTCTGATCATATGTATCATAACTGTTTTGTTGCTCAAAAAAAGCTTTTATCCTAGTTGGCTCTCAGGCTTTCCTCCTCTAAATAAAAAATGTATGATGGAGGAGACTCATCCACAACCTCTGACACAAAACTGTGCTCCTCTTGCATGTTTCCGCCGTCATTAGCGTTGCTTCACAGTGTCATCACTCAGAAATCTGACTTCATGTTAAAACGGGAGAGATGATGTTGGGTTACAGCTACAACCAGTAGGAAAATCCGTTTGGGTTAAAATAGCTTTTATTTTTTTCCCCTGTTGTTTACACCCTATCTCATTACAGCAAAATTTGAACCCTTCTGCAGTATTTACATAATTTGTGGAAGGGTGCTAAAGTTAGTCTGGCCTGCGTTCAGCACTGCTGTCACTATTCCAACAAAAGAGGCTACTCCAACAATCAGGGTCAGTTCGTTTAGTGTTCGTACTTGTATAACTTTTACCTATTATGTTGGAGACCAAGAAACAATGGGGAACAAACCATGGAAAACTACAAATCTGTATCATGCTAAATCCATGTGAATGAACGCTCTAGTGTGTCACCACGAGATTAAAAAAATGGGTTGCGATATGGAGTCCAAATTAGCTCTGTTTAGCTTTTTTGTTTTTTTCACCTTAACAATGGATTTAAATTCAAATTCAAATAAAAAAAAATATTTTATAAGTAAAATACAAGGTTATGACTCCTTTTAAAAAGTGTCATATATGCCCAGATGTTTTATACTTTGTCTTGAGATGAATGTGTTCGCTCATTAATTGCTTCTTCCAGTTCGACTTTTATTTTTGCTTGTTAAGACAAATGCCCTGGAAGCTTTGATTTGTTTTGTTGTTTGCCTTTCTGGTTTGGTGTTTTCTGTTTATATCAAAACATGACGCATGGAAACAATAAACCCCAGACATCCAGTCTTCCCCACAAACCTGAGGGAGAATTCAGCCCCAGAAACTGCCATGATTAGCTAATATGTAGAAAAAAGGTGAGGGCTTTGAAAACTGGGATATTGCCTGTTGATTACACCAGTTGGCACTAACTGTCATAGAGCTCCCTTGTGCCTGCCCTTGTCCTCAAAATTATGCAAGCTGTTAGCAGACCTAAAATAATTTTAGTAATCTTTCACATTGTCCCATTATTAGAGCAGGTGCTGGTGTTTGAGCCAACTTTTAACTACTAGAATGCCTTTTCTCTTTCTGCAGGCTGTCAAAAATTGTTCACTCCTCCTATTTGATATATTCTGGATTTCTGTAGAACACAGCAGTTAGGGAAAATTGAAACTTTAACACAATTACTCACAAAACATTAACATCACCAGTCCGTGTTTATAGATACTATTGCAACAACAGCAAATATTCTTTCTGTTCAGACCAGCATCCTAAACATTGCTGTTATTTAATAGCTAGGAACTCAACTAGGGTTAGCTTTTGCTGTTTTCAAGCAGGAGTAAAAATGGGCAGCTAATCTGAGGTCAGTTCAGCAAAATAAACCTTTATGCTATACTTTTGATCTCACAGTTTGCATTGAATCTAGTTTACCATTAAACTAATCGGCTTTAGTCAGTCTAGACTAACTGTGGAATGAGCCATCAGGTGGCGTGTGTCTTGGGTGGAGACTGAAAGAAAGAACTAGTGGTACTGCAACAACTTTTGTACCCGTTCATGATGAAACTCCAATGTTTGGATTTAGGGTTTTAATTTCAAGCAACAGAAGGTGATGATACCACAATGATTTGAGTCCTGAGCTAGATGCTTTAACCTAACATTTAGAGAAAAAAGGAACCAGGGATGACGATTTCATTACCTTCATAAATTATAGCTGGAAAAAAAAAAGCTAAAAATGATCTGTCTGCACATGAGAGGCCAATATGAACCCATTGCCCGAGTCCTTTAACAATAACTCTTCTTCTCTGAAAGGCGTCTTAATATAATGACAGATACAGTTATTGTGATGTCTGGAAAGCATTCAAAAACCTTTTCATTTTTTTTCTTTCAGCTGCAAAATTTCATAAGGAAAAAAAAAGCCTACATCGAGAAGTAGATGTTTTGTCTAAACCCCTGTCGCCATAGTTACTATTGCCTGAGAAGATTTCTGTAAATATAAATGTAACTAAATCCCATGTTGTTTTTTCTGCTAAAGTTCAGATTTTTAGTACGGATTGACTTGGTCGTTTCCATAGCGACTAAATATCAAGTGACATAGAAGGCCTATTTCTATTAACTAACATTTCAATCTTAAAAACTCACACAAAGAGAAAGACAATTAGGAGCTCAGACCTCGGCAGGAAACATAGCGCTTAATTTTGATAGATATGCATAAACCCCCCAGGCCTGCAACTGGTGGTGGAGTGGAGATAGATGAAGTTGGTCAGTCTGTAGACTGCTGTTAGCCAGACAGTCTGATGAGCTTTATGGGGAGATCCAGTGGATTGTGTGAGCTGATACTAGAGCTTCACTCACTCAGGGACCTGGAAGATGGAAGTCCAGTTGGATAACACAGGTTGAGAGAACCTGTCCATGATGAGCAAGCATGAAGTGACAGTGGAGAGGAAAAACTTCCCTTTGGGAAGAAACCTCTGGCAGAACCAGGCTCAACATGGTGGTCTTCTGCTGGACCGGTTGAGTTGAGACAGGGAACGCAGTAAGAGTCGGGGAGGAATGACACTCTGATGAAGCTTTAGCTACGATGGTGGAGGAGGGGCTGGAGGTGGGTTGAAACGGTGTCATCTGAATGAATTCACACAGCGCATCCGCCGCCTGCGCACAGGAGCAGACAAGTGTCTTTTAAGATGAACTTTGGATGCCGATTGGCTTTCGTGGAGGTGTGGTTCAAAGCTGGTGGGCTGTGTCGCAGGTCGATGTAGGAGAGCAATGAGTTTCTTCAGTTGAAGACCATTTAAAATCAAACGGACAGGAGAACATACTTGACTAATACAGGTGTGTTGATCTTCCTAAGCCAGAAAAATAAAATATTAATGTTCTTAAAACTGCCAATACCTATAGTTGACAGTACAGCTATATTTAGTATGTTTTTCCAAACAGTAGAACGAGGCTGGTGGATTTTTTTTTTTAAAAGGAGCAAATGCATTGAAACAAGACACACAGAACAGGAAGGGAATTAAGGCAAACTGTTTTTTTTTTTAGCAGCAATGACTAAAAAACAATTAATAATTAGGGAGATATGTTGTGAAAAAAGTATAAATCTGTGGAAACGCATCCCGTGGTCACTGTTAATAGAGGATTTGTTATCCTGTGGGCCTGTTTACTACCAGTAACTTTGGAAATTCCAGACATTACTGAGTAAAAATAGTTAAATTAAAGGGGAGTTTCTGCACATCTGATAAATTTAAATTTGAATATTTTTTTCCATCTCACCTAAACTCTGTCGTAAGACTATTTAAAAATCCTGAGCTTTTCTTTTAACCCCTGTACCAGCGTGGATTCAAGATTGACTCAGACGTTAATACTCAGTGTGTTTGTTGTCCTCAGATTACGACGACGGCTTTTCCATAAAACACACAGCTGCTGCTCGTTTCCAACGCAACCACCGTCTGATCAGCGAGATCCTCAGTGAGAGCGTCGTCCCAGATGTGCGATCCGTCGTCACCACCGCTCGCATGCAGGTCCTCAAACGTCAGGTCCAGTCTCTTATGGTGCATCAGGTGAGATCAGAACTCAAGGATCTCTCTGTGACATCTTTGCTTTTTTACTGACTCATTATTTTTATTAACTGTGGCGCCTGGATGTCCTGTTTGGCAGAGAAAATTGGAGGCAGAGCTGCTTCAGATTGAAGACCGCCACCAGGACAAGAAAAGAAAATTCATTGAAGCCACAGAGTCGTTCAACAATGAGCTCAAAAGGGTAAGGCATCTTTTACATTAAATGGGGTCATTGCTCTCTTGCACGCAAGCCTCAGTTTGCATGCCGCGTGCAGCTTGGGCCTTACGCCAGTCTCAAGTCTGTCTCACAGCCCCCAGCTATTGCTAACTCCGTCCACATGTCCTTATAGTGACTCTGTAATTATTTGAAGCTTCCATATTAGTTCTGAATGCACTGACCAATTATTACAACAGGTGGCGCCATTTATCCTATAAAAAGCCCAATGAAAACAGGAAATATGTTCAATTTATCAGAGTTTAACTTTAATTTACTGGTACAGTAACTGGTATGTCTATTTGTGTCCCACCTCCACATGTATCATAAAATGCATTTCTTATTTATGTTCTGCTTAGTTATGCTGCATGAAGGTGGAGGTGGACATGGAGAAGATCTCCGCAGAGATCGCTGCAGCAGAAGAGGCAGCACGTAAACGGATGGCAGAGCGCGAGAAGGATGCAGGAGACAGGGGAGCAAGAGAGGCACCCAGCTGTGTCTTGGCAGAGGAGGAGAAACATGTTTGTGCGACACATGGCAAAAAGTCCCAGCAGAATTCTCACGGCGAAAACAGCAACAAGGAAGGCGAGGTTGCAGAATCAAACACTGCAGATACACCAGGTTAGCAACAGTGGTTTCTGTGGTGCTGCGCAGACTTTATGTTACTGTGAGTAATTTATCCCAGCCAAGATGGTGTGTCCCTGATACCAAACCGATTCATTCAAGATAAAAACACCCGTAAATACGAGTATTGCTGTAAGGCTTTCTTTTCCGCAGAACACAAGGTTAAAACAACTCCCTTTAGCAACTTTCAATGACATATAATGCCTTAAAAGTATTTTTTTTTTATTTCAATCTTAATAAATCTGTCACATTTCAAACACAGGCAATAAATTGTATTTGAATTTAATGTGACCGATCAACACAAAGTGGCAGAGTACAAAGTCACTAACTTATAAAAAAAACAAACAAAAAAAACATGTTTTTTTTTTTAAATAAAGTACCAATATCAATTGACCATAATTGTCTCTTTTCTGGTCAAAGAAAAGTATCCTCACAGAATGATACAGCCACTGCCATCATGTTTCATCCCAGGAGTGTTGTGTTCATGATTCAAGCATGTTAACTTTCAGATTGTACTTTGCAAATAAACCAAAATGCTCTTTTTTTTTTTTTTTTTTTTTATCATCTGACCTCATTGCCTTCTACCACATTTTTCCCCCATGTTTACTCTTCTATAAAGTTCAGCTAGGGGCCTTTTTAGCTGCTTCCTGATTAATGTCCAGCTTGCAACAAAAGTGACAGCATTATCTGTACTACAGTAAAATATAGAAAATAATATTTGGTGATAATATCTTCATTGGATTCTATTGTTAACTCAGAAATAATTCCATTTGAATACAGTTTCAACCTCCATTTAGTCTAGCATTAGTTTTCTTATTGATAACCAGATAAATATTAGACATATGCAGAAAAAAAAAAACGCTTCTAATTCAGTTACCGTATTTTCACGACCATAAGGCGCACCGTACTAAAAGGTCTCAGTTATGTGTGCCATTACTGTAATTAACACACGTAAGGCGCACTGGATTATTGGGCGCGGGTTTTATATACCGGTACATGTCCTCTACTACGTTTAAATACCTCTACTGCGTATTTAAAAATAGAGCGGGAGCAAAACTGAGTATGTTTGTGCTTTATTCATGTATTTATTACAAAGTATTAATCAAACCTGGGAGCTGGCCGTGAGACAGACACATCGCTGGTGACACAGAGCGCTGTGATCGCTCCTCTGAAACGGTTTATTGACTGAAAAAATTAACTTAAAATGCAGAAATCTGCCGGCAGAATATGTTCGCTTTTATTATCCTGGTGCCTGCAGTTTAGATTATTTAGATGAAAAACACCTTCCAGCTGCCGCGGTGAACCGCAAGGAGGCGACCCGTCCAGAGGCTGCTGTTGAATGGGGGCTGCATCGCTAGTATGTGGGGGTCTGAGCGGCTCCGACAGAAATAATATTGGAAGGCAGGATAGTAATCTGGATGAACTGACTGCAATGATTAAGTTTTCAGGTGGACTTTCTCGATTAAAAACATATTAAAACTACTTTATTCCCACAGATCACAGTAAATATAGCTGCAAGGCAAAGAAAGGATAGGATAGCTCCGCTCAACGCGCGTCAGACACACTTTTGCACTGCGCAGTTAGAGCAGCAAAGCTGCTTCAGCCGCGCGTCAGAACTAACTGGTACAAGCAGCAAAAAGGAAGCAGCAGACGCGATTTTGCGGAATAACAGCAAGCACAGCGTTCATTTCTTTCACCATGTTTTTCACATCGGCTGTGAGATGGGCACGCATGGAGTCACAGATTAACAGCGATGGTGATGCGTGGAAAAAACCACCTGGTCTCCTTACATTCACCTCCCTCAGCCACTGTTTCATCATCTCCTCAATGAGGAGATGAGGAGTTCTGCATAAAGCACATACCTGTTCTTTTATACACAATCCACGCCCACACTTCCCCCTTAATGTTCTCATGGTGGTCTCACAACGTCCGCAGTAACAACACACAGGGCGCACCACACTATAGGGCACGCCGCACATTTTGAGGGGAAAAAAAGACGTTTATATGCGCCTTATAGTCGCGAAAATACGGTATTAATGTAGGGATGTGACCTTAAAGAATAATTACAGAAGTCCATTTAGTAACTTTTTTTGTATTTGTTTTTCTAATCCAGTAAAGCAGAAAACCTCAGAAGAGTTGGAGGCCCATCCAGGCAGTGAGGAGGGAGCGTCAGAGGATAAGGAGAGTGTCCCAGAGGGAGCCATGGAGGAAGGAACCAGCGACAGCAACACCGGCTCAGAGACCACCTCTGCTCAGACAGAAGACGCCACCATCAGCGAGCCATCAGAAGGACCCAGCAAGGCCAGAGTGGCACACTGAGTCCAACAGTGAAGGGCGGCACTGCGACTGCATCTGTTTGAACTTCTGATTTCAGATATTGCACAATCTCATCTGTTTGTCCAAGTGTTTAAGAAGCTTTCAAATGGGCTGCAGGTGACATTGAAACCTGAAGCTGGCAGACATACAGTGAATACATCGTCAAACAAAACCTGCACTCAAAGTCGACAAAGCAATGGCCTTGTCTAAAATCAATGGCTGCTACAATGTGCCACAGAAGCCCATGTGAAGGCACTATATTTTCAGCTTCTTTGGAAGAGCGCACACAAGCCCTTCATTAGCACATACTGAAACATATCTCTAGCACTATGTCTGGCAGACAAACAAAATCGCTCAGTGTTATATTTAACTTTGTTCTTTTGTGTTGTAGTCCCATTGTTGCTTTTATTGTTTTGCATGTTGCAGGTGATTAAAAAAAGCTAATTGATCATCTCCTTGGCAGGAGAATATTTGTTTACTCTCTGTATCAGTATTACAGTGACAGTATTGTCTCAGGAGTTTGTAGTTATTAAGTAGTAGTTACTCTTTTTTAATTTATTATCAGCATTTTGTTTTTTATTATTCTTGTGTATTTGGGTGCTCTGGGTCCAGCCCGTATTTGAATATATACCTTGTGATCATCAATGCTGTACAATGCTAAACTACCAGTGTTCTAAAGTTTGCTGGCTGCCAATCAAATCAAAAGCAGTATGCTTAGAACATGTGTTTGTTTTTATCTGTGTTTTGGTTTTTAGGAAGAAACTTTAACGTGTCCGGTTAATGTGTACACGGTGCAACAAGTTTTGCTTAAAACGTGAATTTTCAGGATGTAAAACAGCTAGAAGAACACTCATTAACATGCAGTCTTAATATGAATTTAATTTTTGCATATTTATAGAAATAAAACATTTTCTACCCTGACATGCAGCAGTCTATTTGTTTTGAAAATGTAATTAAGGTGTATTTAAAAAAAACAACAAATCTACAGTAGGTCATTAAATTAAGGTATTAAAAAGTTAAGATATTGCGGTAATGCATCTCTTTCAGCAAAGGAATTTTTCAGTTTTTTTTTCAACCCCTTGATGGACCAATTTAATTGGTAGGTTTAATTTTATATATATATATATATATATATATCTTTTTATGTTTTATGGTTTTATTTTATATATATATATCTGAATGCAATTGTGCCTTTACGCTGTAGCTCAATTAATATTTGTAAACTATTTAGTTAAAAAATTAAAAAATTTGTGACAAAATTTATTCAATTCAGTTTACCTAATGCCTAATGGCACTTTATACCAGATTTATTCACCAGATCATAAAGTCAAATTGAGTCAAAGTTTTCTAAGGAAACATTGATTGCATTGACTCGAAGGCGATTCCTCACACTGATCATGCTTGTAGTGACAGTGGGGAGGAAAATGTCCCTTTTCACAGAAGGAAACGTCCAGCAGAACCAGACTCGGTGAGAGCGGCCATCTGCCAAGGTCAACTCGGTTCCAAGAAGACAGAAGCAGACATACAGTAAGAAGCAGAGATACAAAAGATAAATTCTCCGTTCAACTGTCAATCCACTGTCCAGGAAACACACAGCCAGGCAGACGAGCTACAGCCAGTCACAGTCAGAGAAACCACACTACACTGAAAAACAGGCACATCCCGAACACAATGATCAATAATAACCTTCACCTTTATGGAACAGTTACAACAGAAACAAAATCTTGCCAAGGTTCCTATGTTCCCACTGGATGTGTAAAAACTATGGTAACTGAAGGAATGGACGGGCTATATTGAATGTTTATGTTACGCAAAGGATTTGTTGCATATTTTCAAAGGCAGGCATCAATGGGTTAAGTTTTCTTATCAATAGATTCCCCAACTAAGCTGTGGATCTCTGCAGCCCTTCAAGAGTGGTCCTTTTTAGAGTGGTCCTTTTTAGAGTGTCCAGCTTCCCAGTTTATTTATCAGGCCACCCATGCTTTGATATTGTTTTATAACCTTAACCATAATATCCTTGCTGACTCCTGACCCTTGGTCTTTGTGACACTGTTCACCATAGTATTTCCTCATCTCTGGGATTCCCTGATGCTGTAATCTGTATCCACGTAGATTAGTCATGATGCCTATCTAAGTTTTTCATGCTTAATCATGTCATCTTAATTGTAGGCTTTCAGCGTCTCCTTTAAAGTGTCTTCTAGTCAATAGCAAAAGGGGCTAGAATACTAATAGGTATTTTCTGTGTAATATATTGTAAAGTATTGCTGCAAAAAAATTGTATTTAAATTCTTTCAGTGCTACTATGATCATTCTCTTTTATTCTACCAGCTGTTGCACATTTGTATATAGTTGGTGTATAGACAATAACTATGACAACCAGGTTCCAGTAGCTACAGAACACTGTGTTTAACTAAGAGGTGTAACCAATCATACTCTCAGGGATTCTTCATATATTGAGTTTTAACCAAACATATTTGAGTTTATTCTTTGTTTTATTTTACATGAAACTAATATATAGTAAAACTTTATTTTCTAAGACAACAGATTATTTCTCCAGGCAGCTAAGTTACACATTTTTCTAGTTACACTAAGATATAAATATTCAGTTATGTGAAGTTTGGGATGTTGCAAGCAGTTTAGAAAAATAAGATTAGCATTATCTATTGAAATACACTGTGTGCAGAATAATTAGGCAAATGAGTGTTTCGACCACATCATCCATTTCATACATGTCCTACTCCAAGCTGAATAGGCTTGAAAGCCAACTACCAATTAAGTAAATCAGGTTGTGTGCATCTCTGTAATGAAAAGGGGTCTGACCTAATGACATCAACACCCTATATAACGTGCGCTTAATTATTAGGTCACTTCCTTTCCTTTGGCAAAATGGGTCAGAAAGAGATTTGACAGACTCTGAAAAGTCAAAAATTGTCAGATGTCTTTCAGAGGGGGGCAGCAGTTTGGAAATTGCCAAGCTTTTGAAACGGGATTATCGCACAATCAAGCGATTCATGGCAAATAGCCAACTATGGCACAAGAAGCGTGTTGAAAAAAGAAGATGCAAACGTAACTCCCCATGAATTGAGAAGGCTCAAGTGTGAAGCTGCCAGGAAGCCATTAGACATCAGTTGTGCGAAATTTCAGAGCTGCAACATGACTGGAGTGCCGAGAAGCACGAGATGCTCAATACTCAGGGACCTGGCCAAGGTAAGGAAAGCCGAAAAAAGGCCACTTTTGAACAAGACACACAAGACAAAACATCAAGATTGGTCCAAGAAATAACTGAAGACTGATTTATCCAAGGTGTTTTGGTCTGAAGAAATGAGAGTTAGTCTTGATGGGCCAGATGGATGGGCACCAGGCTGGATCAATAAAGGGCAGCAAGTTCCTTATCGACTCAGTCACCAGCAAGGTGGAGGTGTGTTACTGGTATGGGCTGGTATCATCAAAGATGAGCTTGTGGGACCTTTTCAGGTTGATGATGGAGTCAAGATCAACTCCCAGACCTACTCCCAGTTTCTGGAAGACACCTTCTTCAAACACTGGTACAAAAAAAAGTCGCCATCATTCAAGAAAAACATGATATTCATGCAGGACAATGCTCCGTCACACATCAAAATGCACCACAGCGTGGCTGGCCAGAAAAAGTCTAAAAGGAGAAAGAATAATGACATGGCCTCCTTGTTCACCTGATCTGAACCCCATGGAGAACCTGTGGTCCTTCATGAAATGTGAGATCTGCATGGAGGGAAAACAGTACACCTCTCTGAACAGTGTCTGGGAGGCTGTGGTGGCTGCTGCACGCAATGTGGATCACAAACACATCAAGACATTGTCAGAATCTATGGGTGGAAGGCTTTTGAGCGTCATGGTGAAGAAATGTTTTTGTTTTTGAGTTGTTATATCGGTTTACCTGGTGAAAATAAGTGAGATGGGTATGTACTTGTTTTTTATTACGCTGCCTAATAATTCTGCACACTAATATTTACCTGGACACACAAACATCCTCATAAAATGGCCAAATCTAAAAAAAAACAAACAAAAAAAAAACACATCAACTTCCAAAAATATGAAACTTTGTATTGTATTGTATTTTAGGTTGATTGAGAACACAATTTTGGTCCAATAATAAATATAATCCTCATAAATACAACTTGACTAGTTATTCTGCACATAGTGCAGAAAAAGGAGGTAAGCAGAGAGAAGGAAGCTTCTACGAGTGTTTTCTTTTTTTATCCCGACTGAAAAATGATCAAAAACAAGGGTTCTTGGAACTCGGTGGTTTGTATCACTCATTGACTGTGGCACACATGGCACTTGCAAAAAGTATGTATGTCCCTTGCACAGTACAGGTAAAGGAAGTGGGTAAGATGAAAGACATTTTTTTCTGATTTCCTGTTTTTAACACTGAACAAACAAGGTGTCCTCTTGTATATGGAGTTGAATTCGGCAGCAAAACCATGAAGGAACTTGGACATGTGACTGGAAGCCTTCAAGTAAGCCTTTCACACCTGCATTATGCTGCCAGGAGCAAATTAATCCTAATCTTAACTCAAACTTTGCACTATATGTGAATAATTTGCTCTACAGTAAACTTTTTTTTTTTTTTTTGCAATGCTGTGGTTAGAGCTGCTTTAAGTGAAAGTTGAAAACATAAACCACAAAGACACAGGTGTGCAGCAGCTTGTGCAGGTCTGTCTAAAGGGGTAATTCATGCATGGTTCCAGCTGCTGTCCAGTACAAAAATGACTGTATGATGACGGAGGAAAAGAAAACAAAAAAGAATAGCACATGATACCAAGTAGCTTAAGGTGGTAAGTTTTATTTTCCCAGCCTCTATACAAAACCTTCTAAATACAGTCCTGAACACAAAGTACAAACAGACTGTTGGTGAGTTTGGTTTGACAGAAACCCCTCTGCTCTGTGGCTTGTTATCTCAGGGTCTTTAAATGTAGCTGCAGGTTTTCCTGTAGCTTTTTTTCCCCTTTTGTGTGTGTGTGTGTGTGTGTGTGTGTGTGTGTGTGTGTGATTCATACCAAGATTTGAGCACCTGCTGTTTTTCGAGATACCTGGTATGAGAGCAAAGGTAATTCATGATTCATAGCAAAAGAAACTTTCAAAAACCAATGCAAAAATTGTTTCATATTCATTAAATATGTATGTCTGATCACAAAGTGCTTACAGGAAGATATTACTCTATCTATTCCAACTTCAGCGTAAAAAAGTCAAAGGAATACCTTTTTGTATTATCTGAAAGCATTAGGATAGCTTTGTAGGTGTATTTTCATTTCTTAAATTAAATTGTTAACTGTGATTTAAAATATCGTAGTCTTAATTTTCAAATGGAATAAAAACACATGTGCTTCTCTCTCTTAAAATGGAGTTTGTGGTTTGATGAGTTCTCACATGACTTCTGAGGATACAAAGAAAGAAGCATTTCTCGTTGAGTGGAGAGGTAACTTTTTTTTCCTCTCTCTCTCCCTTCACAAGGGAAACCACCATCAAACACAGAAACAGTCTGCATGTCACACAGCGAACAGCTGTCAGTTAACATGACTGCTCCCAGTGGTGAGTACCTTATCAGTTAAAAGGATGGGTGCTTGCGCTGTGGTGATGAATGATTGGGTATGGTGGAAAATATACAACCTCAGAGCTAATTCCTCTTTTTTTTTTTTGTCTTTTTTTTCTTGTGATGTAAACTCACGTTATCTTTAATGTCGCTATTGTTCTGCTAGTTGCTGCAAAGAGGTAAAACACTGTGCTTGTAAAAAAGCATGGCATCTCAGAACCCTTTGTACATATACAGTAGGTATGACTGTAGAGCCCTTAATGTTTTAGTTACTTGATTTTTGATTAAAGTACTGCAGAAACGGTCTTAATATATCTTAATATATTATTTACTAACAAAGGAGCGATGTAGTTTTTTTTTCTTT